AGCATGGCTGGCTGGGGAATTCTTGGAGTTGAAGTCCACTCATCTTAAAGTGGCCAAGTTTGGACAACACTGACCTAGGTCCAACAGGACGGGTACGCTCTGTGTCCCTTCAGTCAAAGAGTATCATCTTATGGGAGCTTGGAAACTGCCTTTCCTGTAAAAGTGCTTGCCCTCTGTAACGCCAGAGCCCAAGATCAGATTGGCTCTGACTCTGCTGGCCTTTTGGAAAGCGTCTTTGTCAACTGTCTTATTTGGGTTTATTCTCTGTGACCATTATGGGATTTTAACCCTTTGCTAATAATGTTTTTTCTGTTGTTTTAATGGGTTGTTAGCCACCCAGATTGCATTCATGAGAAGGGCAACCATATAAATCGATTTCATAAATAAATAAGATGGCCCTTCCCAACTAGGATTCTGTGAAATAGGTTAATGGTAGAAACCATCATTCAGCTACGTGGGTACGCATATTGGAGGAACACAGCCACATTTTGGCTGGGTTCACACCATAGAGCCTCCTCTTAGTTTTAGGAGGCTTTTGTTCATTCTCCTGATAGCCTAAGACTGCTACGTGGACCCGCCTCCTCCTTAGTGATGGCTGGAATGTAGGTGAAACGTGTGTTTGCATGACCTGGCTTGGCTTTCCATAAACACAGCCCATTTTCAGGGAGGAGCAGAACAGGGTGAGTGTGCACATCCTGCCTCACTTAGAAGCAGCCTGCCCAAACATGGAATAAGAGAGCCACGGCCTCAGGCGGTCAGAGGGATAGCAACTACCTGTGCTAGTCTTAAACAAGTCTCAACCAGTTTCCTGGCTGTGTTAGAACTCTGCTTCTTCCACCGGTTGGGACTGCTGGGTGAACGGTGGGGTGGAGTGTTCCCTTTCGTTTTGAGCCTGCGTGAGTCTTCTTGTTCCCCCCACAAGTGCACGCACATGCATGCACACAGACACACACGCACACGCGCGAGAGACCAGCTTCCAGTGTCTCTCCCTCTCCCAGCCTCCGAATGGCTGTGGATTCTGTTTGGGACTATCAGTTCCGGATCATCATGCTGGGAGATTCCACGGTGGGGAAATCCTGTCTTCTGAAGCGCTATGCCGATGGGGTCTTCCTCGAGTCCACGAACCAAACCGTGGGTGTGGATTTTTACGTTCACTTTGTGGAGATGGAGCCCAACCTGCGTGTCAAGCTGCAATTCTGGGATACGGCGGGCCAAGAACGGTTCAGGTCAGTCTGGAACAGGGGTGGTCTGCGATCTATAAGCCAAAAGAGCAGAAGGGATAGGCCTTTTTCAAGCCTTGGAGGATGTAAGATAGGATGGGTGACTATGCCTCCAAATTAAGGGAGGCTTAAGCTTTGCTTCCCTCCTTGTTTAGACATGTAAAACATTTAACTATAAAGATTCCCAGTGCTGTTAACAATTCAATCCTTCTGGAGCATGAGGACGGCCAAGGTAGCTGTTAAGAAGTTGGACTGGGACTATAGAAACTCAGGTTCAAGAGCTCACAAGACTATGGAGTTCCCTACCTCTCTCACCGCAATCTACCCCACAAGATTGTGAGAATAAAATTGGGGGGGGGGCTCCATGTATGCTGTCTCACATGCCCAGAGGCTGAGATAGAAATGCAAGAAATAAACAGCAGCATCCTGCCCCCCGCCCTCCCAGATGAGGCTGGACCCATCCCTGGCAGCCTTCTGGAAGTCCCTCAAAACATGTCTGTGTCAACAGGCTTGGGGATCTCAAGGAACTGGAGAACTGTGGCAATGGCTACACTGTTTGTCACATCACTCTCTTTTAGTCTTTTTTAACAATATTGATTTTTTTATTATTATTATGGAATGTTTTAATGTTGATTTTTTATGGTTGCTTTTATTGGACGCCACCCAGGGTCACATCTGTGAGATGGGTGGCTATATAAATGTGAGGAATAAGCAGATAAGCAAACAGATGGGATGCATGAGGGAAAGAAAAAGGATAAAAGAGCTATGTTGGTCTTTGACTGTAATAAAGATTTGATGTGATTTGAATAAAAGAGCAATGCTCTAAGGGTCTTACCAACTGCAACAGTCTGATAGAAGGGCTATCAGATGTCCCCTGGGGAAGCGCCAAGCCATTGGCTCTCAGAAGAGCTAAGAGGGTCTTTTCTTTCCCTTAGCTGCAGTTGGTGGAATGGGCCAGACATTCACATAAAGGAAATGGAATGGACAATCTCCTTCTCCTTCTCCTTCTCCTTCTCCTTCTCCATCTCCTTCTCCTTGTTTTATATTCAAAAGCCTAGTGGACTGAAGGTTATTATCTTTAATAGCATAAGGAACCCAAGGTATCGTCATGGCCACATGGAGCCGAATCTGATCTTCCATCCAACAGGGATGTTAAGTCTTGGATTTCAGCTTCTCGTGAGCCATCCATTTATATTTATTTCATTCCTGTATTTATAAAGCCACTGTCATGGTTAATTCAAGGATCACAGCCTGTACAGAATGTCTATAAGGATGTGCCACGTATTTGGTCTTCCACACAGTATCCTGTCTAAAAACATGCAGAGAAAGGCTATAGGCTGTGCCAGTGTTCCCATTGCGGGCTTTTTAAAACAAAATTTGTTAATGTAAAAAAAAAAAAAAAGTCACCCAATACTTAAAGCCTGAAAGAGTGTACTGCTCTTCATTCCAAGTGTCAGCCAGACTGATACAGGCTGGGGATGATGGGAATTGTATTTTACACACCTGGAGGGCACCAAATTAGGGGAGTCTGGGTGGCACACACCTGCCAATGCTTTCACTCACAAATGAGTAGGCCATTGCCTTGAGATAGGAACTCCTTGCCCAAAAGCAGGAGTGACAACTGTTGCAGTCACACAAGCAGCTAGGCCTTATGACACTCCTTAATTTCCTTTTCCTCTTATTAAAGACGTGACTGTTTGTGAGGAATGTCCCTGATTTGTCATCTTCCAGAGAGAGAGAGAGAGTTGCAGAATTTCCTTCAGGCCCAGGGTGGGCTCTACAAAAAGTCAAGATAAGTAACCAAAACCTCATGATCAAAGCCCCTTGTTTCCATGCATCACATCCACAACATGTACAAAAAAGGCTGAGGCTCTGATCATGCCGTTGGGGCTACTATTTGGACGTTTTGACCCCACCCGCTGTGGACGTCCTTGCCTCTGTGTAGTTTTCTTGATGCCAAGGCCGAAGTGATTCGCCATTGCTGCTTCTGCTTGGTTGCTGCTCTTCCAACATTCCAGTTTTGCCTTTAGCTTTTGGATTTCCTATTGGTCTCCCATCCAAATCCGATCCACGTCCAACCCGGCTTAACTTTTTCAAGATTAGCCAAGGTCACTAGATGCCGCACGTGCACACTCAACATACAGCTCTGCTATTTTTAATGCATTTTATTGTTTTGCTTTCGTAGTAGTTTTCTGTGCGAACAGCAGCCTAATGGCTCTTGGGACGCAGGATGGAGGGAGATCGGTGTGCGCAGTTGTACACACATGCTAGTTCACATACATTTTATTAATATATAGCTTAGCTTGTTCTAATGTATAATTTAGAAGGTAGATATAGGATGAGTAGTCAGCAGAACCCCTGTGGATTCCACTGTTAATTTTTAGTGGCACATATTGGTTGCATTTTTAAACTCTCCTAAGCCCAAAATGGACTCACTCTATAAGAAACAGAAAGTAAAAGTGGTGGTGTACCCGACTGCAAAAAGGCAATCAGAGTTGCTGTAATCTAAGAGTCTCAGCACGTAGGTGAGATGAGGAACTGGTATCCCTCCCCACAGATGACTTGTGTGACTACAGAAACCCCACCACCCTTGTTACTCCACCCTCTGTGCGCCAGCTGGTGTCCTGTGGGCCAATCAGAGCAGCTTTAGAGCCAAGACTCCTCCTGTTCCCACCACAAGGAAGGGAAGATATTCATCCCGGCACGTTGACTTTCTCATGACGTCACCCCTTATCTTTTGTTCTATTAGCCAAAACAAGGCATTACAATGGGGCATTTTCCGAGCATTAGCCCTGTGAGATTTTATTTGCCACAGAAACTTATTTGTTTTCATTTTGATGTAACATGCGCTGATTTTAGTAGAATTTGCTCTCGAGAATTCAGGGGATGGTACTGTTGGAGTAAGATTTGTATCACCACACCCAAAGGGGCATAAAATACCAGAGCAATATTGCAATTTACATAATAATGGAGAACTTGTATGCTTAGTTTAACTTTGTGGGTTTGACTGGATGCTTAGTTCAGTGGGTTTCAAACTTTTTTGGGCTGTGGAAGCTGTGAGTTAAAAAAAAGAAGAAGAATCAAGAAGGAAAGCCCTAGTGATAGAAAATAGATAATAAAATGAGACTTGTGCTTGTTCTAATTTATTTATGTAAATTTATATATTGAAATTATTGGAATTTCACAAAAATAGATGCTCCAATTAATGTCCCAGAAAGTTCCTCCAGATATTGTAACTATAAACAATAAAGTGCATACTGTAAATGCAAAATTAATGTTTACAAAGTGCTAACATTTAAACTGGAATTAAAGTTAGAAAGTTAATGTTTTAACCAAATAAATCAACCTTCAGTGATTGGGATGTGATTGCTTTTTTTTTTTTTTAGAAAAATGGATATGGATGTCCCTGACTCCATTTGATAGAAAGATTTGTCCTTCGTCTCTCACTGAACCCCAGTACAGCTTGAAAACCCCTGCTTTAGTTTAACATGTCTGTATCTCTGGCTTCTTGCAATGCTTCCATGCTCAGCAAACCCTCTTTCTGTGATGTAGGTCAGTGACACGGTCCTACTACCGTAACGCAGCTGGAGGAGTCCTGATGTTTGACCTGACCAACCGTGTATCATTCGAGAACATCAGGATCTGGCACCAGGAAGTGGTGGACACAGTCAAACCTCACCGCCCGGTTTTTGTGCTGGTGGGGAACAAGAGTGACCTGGAGGCTGAACGGAAGGTGGGGCAAAAGGAGGCTGAGAAGCTGGCAGTTTCCCTTGAAGCCAAGTATATTGAGACTTCGGCGAAAAGCAGCCAGAATGTGGAGGCAGCTTTCCAGATGTTAACTCTGGGCATATACGAGGCCTTGAGAAGTGGGGTGATGAGACCCACTCCACAGTGGGATGGGGTGAAAAGCAAACTGCCACCTCTGGTTCAGCCAGAGGTTCCTGCTCAGGAAAAGAGAAGGAAGTGTTTCTGCTAGCGAAAGATAAGACCCGCTGGGGCAATGCTCTTGTGTTACACTGTTGCAGCTAGGTTCACCCACTCTGCTAAACGGTGGCTTGTGAAACGATGGTTTGTTGACTAAGCCACCATTGGCTAAGTTCACACAATCTGCAGAGTCCTTAAATATGGTTTGCCCGTCAGAGCGATTGGGTTTGTAGAGCAGAGAAATCCTAAAGCAAGCAAATTTGGTGAGTCTACCTCGCGGGCGCAGCCTCAGAGACTCCATCACAGAGGCCTACAGCCTCTCGTTTAGTCTTGCAAGCCGACTGAAGGTTGGAAATACATTATGAAAAATGGCAGGATTGCTTGCTTGGGGCAGGGGAGCGGGAGGGGGAGTGGGGAAGAAGCTGGCCAAAGAAAGATTGGCTCGGAAAACGGGCTGGGAGCTACAGAGCCTAATTTCCCGAGAAATGTCCCCAACGCGTCCTTAAGGGAAAGGGAGCTGGGTAGCGATTTGGAATGTTGGTGACTACTCCATTCTAAGCACCCTCCCTCTTCACCACGTGACCCAGCACACACCATGTACAGTCCGTCCTGTGCTTTCCAGGGCACACCAGTCACAAACATGTATGTGCAACAGAGAGAGGAAAGACACTCACCCTGATTAGCACTCTATGTATATACCTTGATTAGTCCCTGGGGAGAAAATATGCATGCACACACATGCACATAGATGTAAAATGTTACTTCATTATGCAGAATGCCTGCTCTGGTAAAAGGGTTGGAAAGAATCCCAGAAACCCTGCTTCCCTCTTTTCCTTATTGAAAGCCAAAATTTGGGAGAGATACAATACCTATAAAATGCTCCATATTAGTCACAGATAACTTATTTTGGCAGGCTAAGGTTTTTCACTGACAGTGCCTGCGTCATATCCTTTCATTCCTGCCACTTGTGTAAAAACTTTTCTCATTTTCTCACATTTATCCCACTTAGTTATAACCTCGCACCACCCATCAAACATTTTTCCTTCCACCACTGTTACTCAGGACACACAGAAACAAAGGCAGGTTTACCATTTTTATTGCTCAGGTTATAAATAAAACCTCCACCCATTCACACGTTCACATAATCCTGCGTACCTAGCCAGCTTAAAGGCTAGCTGCCAGACTAGGGTTGAACTCATGAAGAATCAAGCGGGGATACCCACTGAGCACGGTACCTTGTTTTGTGTGATGGCTCTCAACTAGTTTCCATACACATTCTCTTAATGCCAAACAAGGCTTCGTTGACCGTCACAGCTCAGCTTGTCCCTCCTTGGCACTTATCTCACATTTCTGGGTATTCAATCCAGTTCATATGAGAGCTGTTATTGAGAGAATAATTTTCTGTTGTGGGAATTGCATCTGGTGACTTTTTTTTTTTTAAACTGGATCATGTTTATTAAAATTGTCCCCATTACTTACTTACCAGGGGTCCTTTCCCAATCTACTGTGGCCAGCCCTGAGTGGTGGGGGTGGTCTTCAGAATTCTTGTGTGTGTGTAATTTTATTAAAGGCTTTAAAAAAGGAGATAAAAACTAATACAAACTAATATAAAGTAAAAAAGAAAAAGAAAGAAATCAAAGAGAAAGCTAAAAGTGCAAGGAATAAAAGTAAAAGAAAAATAGGAAGAAAAAGATACAAAGCAGTGGCTTCCAATCTTCTTTACAGCAGTTATAAGTACAATTATAAATTTACCTCTTTTCTCTAAAGTTACAACATGACTCTCTTCTTTCTATAACCTCTCCTGTCATCAAAACCATAAATCATAAGTTCATTTTTTCCTGTTTTCTGCAAAAAGTCTATAAGGGGTTTCCAGTCAGCAATAAATGTAGATATTATCTTTTCTCTAATCAAAGTCGATGTGGCCATCTCAGTGATTCCATCGTCTTCACCAACCATTCCTCCATTGTAGGTATTATCAAATCTTTCCATCTTTGTGTGTACAATGATCTTGCTGCAGTTATCATATACAAAAACAATTCCCACAATTCTCTCATCTTATATTTCTATTCAGTATTTCAAGAACCGAAATAAATGAGAGGAGACAGTGGGCATCCCTGTCTTGTTCCTTTTTGTACCTCTCAAGGCTTTGTTAAATCTCCACTAACAATTATTTGTGCTTCCTGTGAAGTATAAATCGATCTTACACATTTTATAAAATTCTCTCCAAAGTTCATATCTTCCAAAACTTTGAACAGGAATGCACAATTCAAATTGCCAAAGGCCTTCTCCACATCTAAGAAAACCAACGCGGCTTGTTTTTCATGATGTTGCTCCAAATATTCCAACATGTTTCTAAGATTGTCCTTTAACTGTCTTTTAGGTAAAAACCCACATTGATCCTTATGAATAAATTCTTGCAAAATTATTTTCAGTCTATCAGCCAGAATCATTGTAAACCAATTGTAGTCATTATTTAGTAATGATATCAGCCTATAGTTTCTTGTTAAAGTCAAATCTTGTCCCTCTTTAGGTACCTGTGCGACACTGGCCTCTTTCTAACACTCTGGCAACTTTTCTCCCTGTAAGATAGAGTTCATTGTATTTTGTAAAGGTTGTAAAAGTTCATCCTCAGAACATTTATAGTAAGAACCTGATAATCCATCTGGTCCAGGCACTTTTCCTGGTTTAATCTTTTTTATCACTTCAGAAACTTCCCTTGTTATAGGTACATTCCTGTTTCTGTTCCTCTGTAATCCTTGGTAGATTTTGTTTCTTTAGGTATTCATCTATTTTCTCCAGAAAGATGTCACTTGCTTTATACAAGTTAGAATAGTATTGATGAAACTGTTTAAAAAAAACTGTTGTAGTTTCCAGGATACCAAATGATATACTTGAGTGTCACAACTATTAAAATATTCACAGGTTCCACCAGGCACGAAGAGGGGAGTGAGGCTTTTCCACACATCCCATTGTTCATTAATCTAGCTTTTAACCACAAAGAACGTAGACACTAAAGACACTGCAGCTGATGTTACTTCAAATGCCTAGTTCCAGATCTACGTAGATGACATTGGACAGTGCAACTTTTAAAAGGCAAATGGAATTACAACATTTTGATATCAGGGTTAGGAGAAAGTGACTCTGAAGCATGGTATTTGTTGTGATAACAGTAGAGTTTTTAGTAACCATAATTACACCTAACATTGTTTTGCAGGTGCATTTAAAATAAACAGTCCATTTCAATATATGGGTGCAGGCCATACATATATATCACCAGCATGGCTGCTGGTGAGAAATGGTGGGAGTTCCAACTTAATACACCTGGATGGAGGAAAGCAGATTAAATGTGCTAATCTAAAGCCATTCTGTGGTTATTCCATCTTTTTTTCCTTAACTGACTTTTTTCAATGAAAACAAAACAAAAAAACAATCCCAAAGAATTCATCAGAAGCTGGATTACAAATGTGGCATTCTGCATCTTCCATAAACAAGCAAATATACATCAACAGCCCTTCATGAAAATATCTCCTGCATCACATGGAAATGTCTTCACTGTTAATACCTTTTGATTGAGGCCAGAAGGTGGATACAAGTCAGTGGCTAATACCAGAGGCCAAGAGATGAAAGGGCGAGGAGCCCACATGAGATGTACAGCTTTAAAAATGAGAGATGGGTGAATGGAAGCCCACGTGATGGTATTGGTTAAGGCAGTGTTCCTCAACTTCGGCAACTTTCCCAGCATACTGGCTGGGGAATTCTGGGAGTTGAAATGCACACCTCTTAAAGTTGCCAAGGTTGACGAACACCGGGTTAAAGAAGTGGACAGGAACCCAAGAAGCTTAGGCTGCAATCCTCTTCTGAAGTTCTGAATGACTTTTAGGCTAGTCATTATTTCTCAATTCTATTCAGTTGTTGTGAGGATAAAATGAGAGCTAATATCCCCCTTCCACTATGCATTACCCTGAGAAAAGGGAAGACATACAAGAAGTAATAGCAATATTAATGTTTCACACTATTCATAGCTGGCTTTACTACTGGGATAAGCACTCTGAACTTCCTAGCTTGCTGATGCCATTTTCTTATTCAAAATACTCAATAATTGTGGATGTCACCTTGGCAAAATTCATGAGACACCTTGAAAAACAGATACATATGGTACTCATTTATTGTTACATTTTCAACTAGTGGGAACTTACACAAATCCTTCTTTAAAGTCACTGTTGGATGGCTCAACACAAAGCCGATGCAGTCAGAACTTATATATAGAACAGAAGATAAGGGTGATGGGAAACCCAAAGCAATGGCTGTTTTCTCAGAGTGTTGACCAAGCACCCCCACGGCTGCTCCAATGTAGCTTCTCAAGTGTGAAGTGGGGAAGGAGGATATAAGTTTTCTGCTAGCAGAAGGCTTCAGAAACAACCTTCCCCTCCAGAAGTAGTGAACAGCTTTCACTATGCACCAATACCTGAGCCAGCAATTACTTCTGTGCCAGTAAAATGCTGGTTTTCAAGTGTGCTTTTGGGATTCAGAACACACTCATGGGAAGAGAGTGTCAGCAACTGTTCAAAAGGTATCTTTCACTCAGTTACGGGAAAAAAAGAACAAGCCACAAACTGTACCAAAATTTCTGGATGCTAAGGGTGAGCTATCCCACTCCAGAGCCACTTGCCAGTGACTATCTTGGGAACAGCGATGCAGTTTAACCATGCCTGCAGACTGTTTCCTAGTTCATAGTTCAAGTCTGTTTCTACTGCGTTTTTAGACATAAAAAGGACCTGCAATGCAAAAAAAAATCAACTTTTTCCCTGTGCCATCTTGAGTGTTAAATAAAAAGGAAAGAAATTTGCTTTGAACTGCTTGCAATAATCAGCCTGTTGTTGTCTCCACCCGGATGGCACTCTGAAACTCCTGTCAATACTGTGGCCTGCTTTTGAGATCCATAATTTATTTTTTGAAAGAAATCCAAATACCACGAATGGCAACATTACAAGTTGGAGGGAAATGAAAAACATCTACGGCCACTTCTAATACTGTTCTCAAAAATATTTTATCCCTTGGACAATCATGGACACCGTATATCACTTAGAAGGAGGAAAATAAAAGTCTATGCTTCAAGATATGTTCCTTTGGGGGAATAGATGTGAGGAGACCTAGGGATGTGTGGCAGGTCTCCTCTAATAACCCCTTATTGCTGCACTGTTAAAATATATGCTTCTCTGTGAAGCAATTCAAAAAAAATTATCCCATAGATGACCTCAAGGATGTTCCACAGCTTCAGAGGCAGATTTTTTTTCTCTTAGAAGAGCCTTTTTTTTTCCTTTTAATTTCTCTGTCTTTTCCCAGAGTTATTTCTTGGTTGTTTTGCGGATCAATGCCATTCTCTGCAAATTAAGGGGGGGAAAAAAGGACAGTATGAACATCGGTCTCTTGGTAAGTTAAATTAGGAATATGATTAGTGGAATTCAAACAGGTAATTTTACAATTCACCCACAATGAATCCATCCATCCAGAATACCAGCAGCTATTGGGTTTCCAATCATGACTGGGGCTGCAACTGCAGAGGTTCACCTCCTCTCCCCCCACTTGAATTTACTCCCAACGTGTAACATTCCATCTCTCCAAAGTTGCCCTTTGACCTTGAAGGAAGGATTCAGTCTGGTCTAGTGGTTAAGGCACCAGGCTAGAAACCAGGAAACTCTGAGTTCTAGTCTTGCTTTAGGCATGAAAGCCGGCTGGGTGACTTTGGGCCAGTAACTCTCCTTCAGCCCAACCCATCTCACAGGGTTGTTATTGTGGGGAAAATAGGAGGAGGAAGGAGTATTAGGTATGTTCACCACCTTATTTATAAAAATAAGAAGGGTGGGGTTAAAAAAAAAAAGAAGTACTACTATACTTGGCCAATTCTGTTTATTTCCTTACAGTCCAAACAATAATTTCAGGGTAGGCAGTCCTGATTCAGAACAACATTCCGCACAAATTTTATTTTCTTTTTTTAAATAAATAGAACTGCAATAATGAATTAAGTGGAAAAAAAGAATGTGGTTCAGAAAATATTTTATTCTACACTTAAATCATACAGACAATTAAGAAAAGGGATTTAGGCATGTAGCTTGCTGACAATCATTTTTTTTTTTTAAAAAAGCCAAGCTGGAATTTGAAAAGTAGAAATCATCTCTCAATTTTTCTACTGTGGCAAGAAACCTCAATTTGTCAGCAAGTTCTATTTTCCCCCTATTCATCAGTGGTTTGATCCATTGGAAACTATCTGCCTCACACGGCATCATTTCCCTTAGGTGCAAATTATTTGGGGGGGAAAAAAGAGATCCTCACCTGTTTGTGAGCTTCTGTAGTGCAGGCTTTTTTATATGGCCTGATTTCTTCAGAGCCGAAACCCGGGATCCACATATTCCACTGGCGCTCTGGGGGCAGCAACAGCATCCGTGTGGCAGTGGCGAGGAAATGAGATCATAAGCCGAAGATGATTTGAACAAGCAATAAACAGATAAGAGAAGCAGGTTCAGTCACGTAGAAAGCAATGAATTAATATTCCACTATGCAAAATTATACCAATGAGAAGTGGAAATACAGGCTTTTGCAGAAATCTGACTCCCTCAAAGCCCTTTTTTATATCCCTTCTGACAATCCTATGAGGCATGTAATAAAAATACCTCAAGGTCTGAAATCTTCCCAATATGGGGTTTACAATCTGGGCTGACAGATGAGTGGTAGAAGATAACGTTTGCATGCAAAGATAGGGAAAGTGAACCATTTATGGTTACCAGGAGGACCCTGGAAACCGCTTTTTCAGTGATCCTGCCAATGCAGGAGGATGAAGCCTAATTTGTGATTCCTTTGCATGTCCTGCCCCAAGGGGACTGCAGCAATTACTGGGTGGGAAGGTGCACATATGCAAAAGGTACCACGGAGCATTACCCTTTAAAACATGACAGCAGGGCAAGAGGATCAAGTCACTGAAGTGAGACTGCCATGCTGCTGCTGCTGCTGCTGCTGCTGCAATCTTGTCTACTCCAGGGCCCTCCAGACATACTAGGCTGCAAATCTATCATGCCGAGTACACCTGCCTCATGGAAACTGTAGCCCACATGTCAGGGGAGTACCAGATAAAGCTTCCGTAATGTTAGAAAGAGAAAGGGGAAGGCTCAGTTGTGACCTGGGAGCTCCACATGGTATTTGTCATTATGCTTCGGATAGTGGCTCATTAGAGGGGCAAGGAAGAAAAGAGGAGAAGAGGATGACCAGCAGCAAGACGGACAGGCTCAGTTATAGTGGCGACAAGCGCACTGCTGGGAGACTTGAAAGAACAGGTTAGGGATACATTGTCATGGAGAAAATGTATCTATGTAGTCACTAGGAGTGGAAACAACTTGATGGCACATAATCAACATAATTAGAGGGGCAGGTGATTGTCTCCACAATATAACCCAGGAGGAAACTCTGCAGGTTATGGAGAAAACAATCCAAAACAATTTATATATACTCCTTTAACTATGGCAGCTGTCGGGAATTGGACACATTCATGCCTTTGCACTGACCAAGATGCAACTGGACATCCTTTACTTCCAAGGTGTTAGACTTGCGATGCCGCGCGAGCTGGCAGGCAGCTGTCACCACGCTTTCAATGAAGTCATCAGCAATCTGCAGCAACATCTGTCAAAATGGAATTCAGCATCAGAAAGAATGGCAGATGTCACCCCACTTCACTTCAGAAGGTTATTCTTCTGACGAGTCAGGGTGCTGACAGAGCATTCTCGGGAGCCTCAAAGAGAAATTTAGAAGGAATGGCACAGTTCAACCAAGGAGAGGCTTAGATGTCTGTGATGCTCATTTTCTCTAAGACCTACCTCCTCCACATCTTCATCCAGCTGCTCGTTTGGATCCACCTCTCTAACCAGATCCTGCAATTTCTTCTTTGTTAATATCTGTGGAAAACATTAGCAAATTTTTATCAGGTTCATTCCTCCACGGTCACTTCTACGCAGTTAAAAAGATCTTGCTTAGGAGCACTTCCAGCCAATCACATATATGATTGTGCCCCTAAGGGGAGCCTCTAAAGGAACCCTCCTCCACCCAAAGCCCATCCAGATGTGCTGACTATAGCTCACATCATCACAGCATGGCCCATTACCTGATTACTCTCAGGACTGAGGCGCCCCCCACTACTAGGGGTCCCAGGCATCTTTGCCACAGAGGTATTGTTTGCCATGGAACTATGAGGAGGAGTATTGCCTGGTTCTGCTTTGATTGAAGAAAAGTTGGATAAATTGATCAAGGTAGATGGACCAAACTGGTTCATAATCTGTTGAGCTTTAGTCTTGAGATCATAGAGCTTATCCAGATCTTGCTTCTTTTTGGGATTATGTGGGCCCAAACCAATCAGCTAGAAGAAGAAGCAGGCCCCAATGTTAAAAACAAGGTGGGAGAATTCAAACGTCAATATCATGGGCATGTTAACTGAGTTGAGGAACCTGTTACTAACAAAAGCAATCTATCAGTGAAACTACAGGCAGTATTGTAAATTAGTTTTTCTCTGAGCCTTTAATTAATTATTAATACAACTCAGACTATTTTAGTTTACCTTAGCACTGCAACTTGTAACATCACATCAAGACCAAACCATGCTATACACGTACAATCCAAAAAAGTAAGGTTGATATCTTTATTACTTCTGTTCTAAGCAAGATCCCAACAGAATAATACACAAAACAATGTTTAGAATATTGCAACGTTAATGTTTCATTCTTATTATCATGCATTACTTTACTCAACACACTGTGGCAAAAAGACAATGATACTAAGTTTTGGGAGTGAGATTCTCATCCAGAACTGCTTTCAATAGAATCAAATATTTCTTGTCAGAGTAGAACTCAATTGCCATTAAAAAGAGTTGGCTATAAAAGAGAGAGAGGAGATGAAGCTCAAAGCCAGAATAAGCTTTAGATTCTCTTTCCTGTCCAAAGTTACTACTTTGCCTCAACCAATACTACTTTGCCTCATCCACACTGTGCTAGGATACTGGCTTGCATGGAAGGTGTTCCCTCTGATTTCCAAATTGATAGGCCAGTTGTAATGACTTCTTAGTGAGAGGCAGCACTGTGTTAGATTGAACCTGGATTAGCCTCTTCCAGTACTATTTGCATAGCTCTCTCAATGTCTATTTCCCAAGAAGTCATATCTTCTCTCAGGTTCATTTTAAAGAAATATACATGCAGAGTACTGGCTGTTTTCTTCAATCTCACTTATTTGAAAGCTTCAAAGTTTAGAATAGGCTTGTACAGTAAATAGGTACAATCCAATTTATTTTCCCTGGATTAACTGTTGTTCTAAAACCAAGTTAAAACTTATAACATTCTTCTGGGTGGGGGCTATTTATAAAATGCTCAACATTTAATTGTAACTCTGTTCAGTAGAATGGCTCTAACAAGAATGAAATGCTAGAATGCAGAGAAATTGATAGAAAAGCAAACCTAAGTTCTAACCTGTACAAGGACTTTGAAAAGAGATTTCAGTTGCATATTCAATGTCTTGAGTTAAGAGCACACAGATCATATTATATTCTATAAATAATTTAACAGGAAAAGCAATATATTCTTGCTTTGTTTACCATCAGATTTCAATCTTGGCACATGTTCAAAATTAACAAGACACAAGCCAATCTTCAGCTTTTCACTATGATGCTAGCATGCCATGCGATGGTCAGTTCAAGCCAATTTACTTACAGCTATCTGAGTATCTAGATCTTTAATTACATCAGAAACTACTGTGGGGCCATTGAATGGAGAGGCCATTTTCAAAAAAGAAAAAAAAAGTTCCTGCAAATAAATAGTTAGAATTAACCTACTTAGCAGTTCTTCCCTGGCTGTGGATGCTTATAAAATTCTTTCAAAGCATTCTGCATTCCTGCCTCCAGCCTGAAAAATAATAGAGACTTTGACATGCAACAAACCACCACAACACAGGATTTTTTTTCATGTCTCTTCTAAAAATGGATTTATAACTTTGGAGGTTATTATTCCAAAGATTTTGCCAACCAAAGTCAAGGTGACAAGATATTATCACTGACGACACAAGCATGAGCTTACAGAAAGTCAAAACAGCAGTTACTGATAGACAATCTTTGTGGGATGATGTTCATCAGGTCTTTAAGAGTCCAAAGTGACTAAACAGCAATAACAACATTATTTCACAGTTCAAGCCTTACCTTATTTTAAGCAGGCATTCATCACAGCAAATACCAGCCAACTTACTTGCTATTGATATCAAAATTCTTTCTGTTCGTGAAGATATTTGAAGCAAGGCTTTAAAAACTAAAAATGACCTTGAAACCAAATCTTATTTGTTCCTTGTTTTATCAGTTGGCATAATCTGATATCTCATCAATGGCTTTTAGTCTTGATAGCAGTGGGACTGCCTCTGAAGGCCATCTGGTGGGAGACTAGAGGGCTTCCTTGTGCTGTCGGCTGGCCACTGGGAGAACAATGGGCCAGGGGGAGATCCAGCAGGGCGCTGCTTATGTTGTTGTTACTACTATTATATTTTTGTCCCACCTTTTTATATAGGTGGCAAACATACCTAATATTCCTGCCTCCTATTTTCCCCACAACATTCGTGTCAGGTGAGTTGGGCTGAGAAGAGAGTGGGACTAGCCCAAGGTCCCCCCATCCCCCCCCCACTTTCATGCCTATGTTCTACTGAAAAAAGCTTTGGTTTTAAGTAGTTATAATTACTGGTTTTTATGGATTGCTTAAGTGGGCGTATACACTGACTACCATAAAGTAATACTATACCAATAATAATACATCAACTATCATAAATACGGTAACAGTAACAATAATACTGACTACCATTTAATAATTTATTAAACCCTTAAAATAGGTGAATAAGGCTGAAAGGCCAGACACGGGTGCTTCAAAACAAAACTAAGATCTAGCGGAATGGGGAGGCTCGCTGCCAAGGAGAGAGGAGGGGGAAGCCTACAGAGAGAGCCCACCTGGTGCGGGGGAGGCGTTGGGCTGGCAGGGGGTGACGAAGTTACAAACCCACCCTCGGGCACTAGGAGGCGGGGCCAGGCCCTTCCCCTCAGGCCAGCCTACCTCAAGGGCTGTTGTGGGGGGAAAACAGACCTTGGGCTACGCTTAGAGATGGCGCCCACCCCAAACACTAACTACCACACTGCAAATAGGCATCTCGGGCTCCTTTTCTCCGTCGCCTTGCCTTATTTTAAGCGGGGTTTCATCCCAGCCGCCACTCTGTCTCTGTCACGGCCGCCTCACTCACCGGCGCCTCAGCCGCCTAGCTTCTCATACCTGCCGCGCTCTCTTGGATGGGCTGCCGCTTTTGCCTTCAGCAGGTCTCCGCCGACACAACACTTCCGGGGTCACGACCGCGAAACCACGGAAGTGTCAGGAAACACCCTTCTATCAGCCCGCGCGCCTGCCGGCCTGCTCGCCAACCAATCAGGAAGTCCTCCTCTGCCCTTCGTCCGTTCGGCGGCCTGGCTTGACTGCGCAGGCGCCAACTCTGGAGGGTGCTGATGGGAGTTGTAGTTCGAAGTACCCGGAGGGAAGTTTTTTATGGTCTGACTCTTACTCTGTGCAGGCGGACAGAGGTTGTCCGCTCGCAGCACGTGCCTGTCCAGGTGAGTTGTGAATTTAGGAGGTTTACTGGCATAACATAAGCTTAGTTATTTTTGGTGAACCTACTTCCTTTGGCTAGTTATTCTTCAGCGCATTGTGCCGACTCGGAAAATGACTTCATTCAGCCCGCAGGCTAAGCGTGTTGTGTGAACAAAGCAGAGAGAAGGGCAGGAAAGCCAGGGGATTTTTGCACTAATTTCCTCGAAGGGAAACACCTGATCTCCCTCAGAAGTAATCCTCAGACTTGGAGACGGGAGACTCCAGTGCCAATCCCAAATGCGCTAGAACTGCGTTCGCACGACCCACAGAATCGCAAACTAGCCGAGCCCCTTTTGGCTTCTGCAGCCCAAGCAGGCGGTCGGTTTATGGTTCAGCCGGTCACACGGGCCTAAGAAGCAGAGCTCAGCCCACCGTGGGTCAGCGTATCATGCGAATGCAGTCAGGCTGTGAACTCGGGCTGACTCGGCGTTTAATTCGGCAGGTCTGGGTGCATTTTTTTAAAACCAACTTTCAAGTCGAAAGGAAAAACCGGGAGACAAAGATGCGTGAGCAAGCTTTACTTGGAAAGGAATTGCCTTGCAGCTCAGCTGAACTGAACTGATTTACTCCATCGAGGATGCTTTGTTCTTTCAGTCCGGGGCTGGTGCTCACGTTCACGGAAGTTAACTAACGAAGCTAATTAGCCCCCTTCGCTTCCCGCGCCAAGTCTGCATTTGACAGGTCTTTAGGAACTCCGAGAACTTCTTCTACCCAGAATGCCGCGCGTCAATTTGCATATCAGAAAAAGAGAAAGGTTGCCGGTTTTTAAAGTTGATGCCCGATATGGAACCGTCGTAACGGCGGCCGTGAAGCCGAACCTCTGCGAAGTTGACTGGTGTGGTGGCAGTTTGGGGCCCCTCGCTGTGACGTGGATGAGCGTCATGGATCCATTGGGGCCCCGCGGGAGGAGCGCGCGTTTAAAAAAGGGCTTCTGCTGTGAGTAGCACATGGAGAGGGGTGGCTGCGGCTCGCTCCTTTCCGTGCGGAATCGCTATCAAGAGATTTCGGAAGCATAATTTTTGCAATGGGGGTAGCTGGTAATCGCTTGTTCTGGCTCCCCGGCTAATTGCAGTTCAACGATAGCTTTCGGGATGCCTTAGAGTTAAATGTTGGTTTGTTAGGCAGAAAATACAGGTCCTTGTTTGTGTGGGTCTTGCTGTCTCAGTGGGTTCTTAATCTTGGGAGTGGTAGGAAGTTTGATGTAGGAGTGTTGGGAACAATATGTTGTGTCTGACTCGTGATCCCATGAACCATATCGCACCACACCTTCCTGTCCTGCCTCCCTGAGTTTGCTCAGTTTCATGCTCAGTTTCATGCTCATTGCTTCATCGTTGCTATCCAACCATCTCATCCTCTGCCGTCCTCTTCTCCTTTTGCCTCCAATCTTTCCCAGCATCAGGGTCTCTTCCAAAGAGCCCTCTCTTTGCATTAGGTGGCCACAGTATCTGAGCCTGAGCTTCAGTATCAATCCTTCTGGGAACAATACAGGGTGCTGCTTTGTTTGCGCTGGTGTTTGTGGCTTGTAACTTCATTATTTTTGTATTTATTTGAATTTGAAGTTTGTGTTAGGGTGGGCTTTTTTCTTCTTGCATTGTCCCTGAATTGTTTGTAAGCTATGGGAGCTTATGTGCATTACATACATGTTTTTGTGTGTGTGCCTTTGGGTCATAGTTGACTCCTGGCGACTGCCTGGACCAGTCCCTGCAGTTTTCTTGGCAAGATTTCAGAAGTGGTTGGCCCTTGCCTGCTTCCTAGGGCTGAGAGAGAGTGACTGGTGGAAGGTTACCCAGGTGGCTTAGGGCAGGGCTAGAACTTGATCTCCCAGTTTCTAATGCAATGCCTTAGCCACTACACCAAACTGGCTCTTTGTGTGTGTGTTGGGGTGTCCTTTTTAACTTTATCACCCAGATTTTGGGCAGCAGCTGTGCACCCTCTGCACTTCATCATGCATAGATTTAGTTCAGGCACAGATTGTCTAGGTGGAGAGAAGTCCTGGCCCTCCTGGTAGAAGGGCCTCATAAATGCTGTTCTCTTTACCTGTTCCCTGTCCAGGTATTTGGGTGTTGTGTTTGGTTACACTAAGCCAATGTGTTGGGAAATCTTGGCTAGTCTGAAATTGCACTGTCCCAATTGCTTATGGATGCCCAACACTCTTCTTCCAACTGAGCTCCACTTCTGATGACTTAATTGCCTCATCCTTGTAGGAAAGTAGCTTGCTGCTTCTGGCATGTTTTTTCAACTTACCAAATTAGCCTGTACCCCTAGGATTTCCTTAAGGTCTCCCATCCAACTACTAACTGGTTATACCTAGGTTTTGGGTGCTGCTGTTTAGCTTGGTACAGAAACTCAACAATTAAGGTCTAAAATTCTTTAATAGAATCAGTCTTGACTTCTGGCGACCACCTGGACAAGTCCCTGCAGTTTTCCTGACAACATTTTTAGAGGTGGTTTGCCCTTTTGCTTCCTTCCTAGGGCTGAGAGAAAGGGACTGGCCCAAGCTCACCCAGCTGGCTTTGTGCCCAAGGTGGGACTAGAACTTAGGATCTCATGGTTTCTAGGCTGGGGTCTTTACCACCATACCAAACTGGCTCTCAAATAATGCCCTAGCCCAGGACAACAAATTACAATGGCCAACTATAATGTGCGAAATTGAAGCCAAACAAACCATATTGTGATGGAGGACTTGGATGAGGAGGTTCAAGGTCATGGGGAGAAGCATCTCCTCAGCCCACAGCCTGAGCGTGTGAGAGCAAAGA